TCAAAGTGAGGACAACAGGAACTGTGTCTCTCAGGGAGATGCATCCAAAGCACAGCTGCTTTCCTCGACCCAGGTCGTTGTCACCCGTGTGGAGCTCTGATTTCTCCTTAGGATTTCTTTCATTTTTAGGTTTTAACCTTAGGAATAAATAGTTCCGTGAGTGTGTGGTTGCTTTCCTTTTTTCTTTCTTTTAGATTTTATTTTCTGCTCTGCAGAGCCCCAGCACAGACACGGAATAAGGGAACGAGGGGCAGCTCGCAGGGAGAAGCAGAGCGCAGACAGCTCAGTCACGCGCTGTGAGAGCGGGGCCAGCTCAGGGCCTCCGGACCATCCTGGGGTGAGCAGGATGCGGAACTCCTTCCTCTCCGGGAGGTGCTTGGAGAGCACGGAGGTCGCACTGCAATGAATTTTTAATTTATGAGAAAAATTATGAAGGCAAATCAAATCCTTTTTAGAAACAAATGTGGAACTCTTTTCCATATGAAAAACCATTGTTTACACATAACTCTTAAATGAATCATCCTTACACATATGAATTATGCTAACAGAACACAGTCTACAAGTGCAATGAATGCCTACTCTTTTTTTTTCCCCCTACTCTGCACAGTTGAAGATCTTAAAGAGTTGCCAATCAATACTCAGGAAGAAAGTTCCCTTCCAAAGTCAAAGTACAAAAGCAGTAAGCACCAACGTTATCCCTAAAGATTTAGAAGTAGTGGAGAACTTCTTACAGAAATAAGTTCACAGTCATTAAAAGCACTCACTCTTTCATGTCTATTGAATATAGGGAATGTGGCAGGGTCATAACATTAGTGAACGGCACAAGGGCGGCAAAAGATTGGTGACGGGAACGTGACAAGATTGTGTGCACTGGTGTTTGAAGGACGTGAAGAAGAGAGCATTCTTAGCAGCATTTTCTCCAGGAGCCAAAGAGTGGAAACAGTCTCCGAGCTTCTTCACTGATGAATAGATTTTAAAAATGTATCAATTCCATAAAACAACTTATCATGTATCCACCCCAGGGAAGTAAATTTTGAGAAATCGGTACATATGTAAAGCATGGTAAATGAAAGGCTAACACAAAAAGGCGGGTGCCGAGGGACTCTGTTTATGTTTAACTCCAGAATGAATGAACTCATAGAGTAGGAAGCAGCTTAGTTACCAAGATCGGGGCAAAGACGAGGGAGGACTCGCTCCTACTCCTTCCTTTCTGAGCTATGCAAAGTGTTCTACAAGTAGGTAATTGTTGTCACTCTCGTGGTGCACTACACACCCAAAGATCTTCAGGGTGCATTTGTTACCTCAATAAAAATATCATCAAGCAGCAGTAATGGTTTAACAATTTGGATAAAAAGAATGTTTGAACACTTGAAAAACAAACAAAGAGGGGAAGTGACTGGCAAAGATTCTTTGAGGCTGTTTAATTACATTCTGCTCCAGGTGGACAAGCATGAGACAGATGACATTTTATATAGAAAAGCTGTATGTATTGTACAGCAAAATATTAATTTATAGCATCACTGTGCCAGGCATTAAGTTGGGAACTATATCCAAGAGGTAAGCTCCCCCTGTGCTTCAGTGGTTCTTGTAGTCACAGGGGAAAATACGGACCCAGAAGCACAATTAATTACAGGTTTGCCCATCGTGGAAACCTAATAAAAGTAGCTTAGGAGAGTTCAGTCTCAAAATGTTCCTGTTAGAATAAAACACTCTCTGCCTGATGTTCAGTTACCAAAACATCGCTCATCTCAGGTAAGTCTTGGGTTTTTAAATTTATGAAATAATATAAAGAAAATAAATTAACAAGTATAACTGATGGGAGAAAATGTAATGAATTTATGCCAGATTGATTAGTAGAATATATTTTGAGATCTAATTTTCAAAGGTGATAATTACTCCTCAGAGAGCAGGCTCTTACGGACTTTATTATCCACAAAATCTCATTTTCCTTTTTCTTTAATCTGGGCTCATAGATTTTATTCATTTTATTATTGTGTAAGTATGTACAGAAATTTTAGAATTTTCTAGGTTAATATGTAATTGAAGTATCACATTACAACTATCACATTAGAAATAACAATATGTAAAAATTTAAGTCTGAGTATACCATATAACAGTTACCTAACTAAAAATATCAAACAAAAATCCCACAGTATTCACCCCTCAGAGTCCACTTCTCATATTTCAAATAAGAAGCATGCATGCATGAAAATACATCACCTATTCATGACTGTTCATACACTCCAGGAAGAGAAACTACGCATCTCTAAACTTACAATTGTACTTCGTGTTTTCAATTTTTTATAAATATAATTTGTTATATGCATGAGATACATTCATAGACTGTGATATAATGCAAGGGTATGGATTAAAATGCGTTCTCCCACTTGCTTTTTAGCATTATTTTGAGTGACAAGAAAACTAATACTTTAACTCCAAAATTCCTCTATATTAAGCAATGAACACTGTGGAAAAATCATAATATTTCTTAGGGAAAAAATCAGTAATAGTTATTTTGTGTCACCAAATACTAAAAAGATAGAAGAGTAGAATAAATATATTTATCTTTATTTGTCAATAGTACCACTATTTCCAGAATTAATAAATGGCCTTTTATAATCCGGATGAATTTTGAAGATGATAAATTGTATATTTTTTCCTATGTTGATAACTTCAAGAAGCATAGCAAGAACTGAACTGTATTTCTCATGATGTAATTTCCCTAAAAATCATGTTTCCTGCATATTATTTGGAAGATTTACTGAGATTTCAATCATCAAGTATATGTTAGCTGAAATTAGGACACTAAAAGGTCCAGAGAAATTAGAGAAGACAGGAAAAGGCACATATATTCTGACATATATTTAGATTTCACTCATAATTTCTCAACTGCTTTTTGAATTGATGATTTTACTGTTTTCAAAACCATCCAATATATGTGAGGATTAAAAAAAATACAGAAGCATACAGAAGAATACGGTGTTGTGCTTTAGCTACCTAGCAATGTACAGAAGATTTCACAGGACCTCTCACTTTTTAAATTTAGAGAAGAAGAATGGACACAGGAAACTGCTCTGCCTTGAATGAGTTAATTTTCCTGGGAATTACAGATAACACAGATATCAAAGTGACCCTTTTTGCTGCTTTTCGCCTGGCTTACCTCTTCGATCTCCTGGCAAACCTCGG